GTTATGAGAATCACTTGAACTAGTGAGATGGAGCTTGCAGTGAGCTGAGATTGCGCCACTGCACTCCAGTCTGGGCGACAGAGCAAGACCCTGTCTCAAAAATAAAAAAAGCTAGAAACAACAAGGAGCAAGGACTTCACAGCCACAAAAAGGCCAATGCAGCAGGAAGAAGCAGCAGTGACACGTGCGAATGCATCTAACCACAGAGCCCAAAATCCATGAAGCAAACTGATCGAATGGAAAGAAATCCATCATTTATTAATTAGAGTTGGAAATGTCAGCCAGGCACGGTGGCTCGTGCCTGCAAACCCAGCACTTTGGGAGGCCAAGGTGGGCAGATATCTGAGGTCAGGAGCTCGAGACCAGCCTGGCCAACATGGTAAAACCCCATCTCTACTAGAAGTGCAAAAATTAGCCAAGGATGCTGGCGGGCGCCTGTAACACCAGCTACTCGGGAGGCTGAGGCGGGCAAATTGCTTGAACCTGGGAGGGGGAGGTTGCAGTGAGCCGAGATTGTGCCATTGCACTACAAAAGAATTAAATTAGAAATTAACAACAGAAAGAAACCTGGGGAAATCTTCAAACGTTAGGAAATCTAACAACACGATTCTGAATAACCCATGGCTCATAGAAATAATTATAAAGAAAACAGAAAATATTTTGGAGTAAATAAAATTGAAAACAATGTGGCCAGGCGCGGTGGCTCACGCCTGTAATCCCAACACTTAGGGAGGCCGAGGTAGGCAGATCATGAGGTCAGATCAAGACCATCCTGGCTAGCACAGTGAAACCCTGTCTCTACTAAAAATCCAAAAAATTAGCCGGGCGTAGTGGCAGGCAGCTGTAGTCCCAGCCACTCAGGAGGCTGAGGCAGGAGAATGGCGTGAACCCGGGAGGCGGAGCTTGCAGTGAGTAGAGATCAGGCCACTGCACTGCAGCCTGGGTGACAAAGCAAGACTCTGTCAAGAAAAAAAAAGAAAAGAAAGTGTCAAAATTTAGAGATGCAGCTACAGCAATGCTTAGAGAAGGCACTTACATCAAAAAAGGAGGTTATTACATTAACCAAGGCTTTCTTCACCCGAAGAGATGAGAAGGAAGGAAAGCAGCAGACCCTGTCGTGCAGAAGCTGTAGAGACAGCAGAACAGTCGCCCGGAGTGCTGGGTCCTGGACTACAGGTGCCCATGAGGAACGGGGTTGGTGATGGAAATGCCGAAAACTGGCTCGTGGTGACTGATGGTTGCAGAACTTCATCACTTTGCTAGAAATCATTGGATTCAGTGGTCGAATTTCATTTGTCAGCTTTTATTTTGAAGTAGTTTAGGATTCACAAGAATTTGAAAGTAGCACCTGGAATCCTGGAAGCCTCCATCCAGCCTCCTCCAGCGGTGACATCCGATGTAGACCAGCGTTGGCACAGTACTGTGCACTGCTAGACTGGAGGCCTTTTTCCACTGTTCCCATTTCTTAGGTGTGTTCATTTCTCTGTGTGTATAGTGATACTTTTTTCTAAAAGCGTGTTTTTCATATTGTATCTGGGCTTAACTCTAGAAGAACACGAAAAATTGATTCTCACGGATCAGTGTTAGTTATTTGGCTGCTTTATGATGCAGCCAACTGCCGATATTCGGTCACTCATAGCTCCTACATTCCCAATGACGCCTTTTTAGGGAGCTTCCCCTGCCCCTCCCTTATCACGTTCGTGCCCACACAGGTGGGAAGTGGTCTGGGGTCCATGTGCCCAGACAATCCATTGAGTCACGGTCAGCACCGGGGCCTCGGCCTGAGTCTGTGGCCTCATCCCCACTTTTCCTAACAGGCTTTTCTGCGGGGGTTTTTTGTTTTGTTTTGTTTTGTTTTGAGCCTGTGCAGATTTATCTCATAGTTAATTTGGGTTTAAATTTGGTTGTCATACATACTGAAGGAAATGCTCGTGTTTTAGAGCTGCTAAACAGAAATATGCCAGAACCAGTGGGGTGTCTTTTTGTTTGTTTTCCGAGACAAGGTCTCACTCCTGGTCAAGCAGTCCTCTCACCTCGGCCTCCTGAGTAGTTGGGATCAGCGGTGAACACCACCGTGCCCAGCTAGTTTTCTGATTTTTGTAGAGACGGGGTTTCACTACATCTCCCAGACTACTCGTGTGACTCACTGGGGACAGAGCTCTCAGAATGTGTATATTGGCGGGCAAAGTGGCTCATGCCTGTAATCGCAGCACTGTGGGAGGCAGAGGCAGGAGGATCACTTGAGGCAAGGAGTTCAAGACCCTATCTCTACTAAAAATGCAAAAATTAGCCTTGTGTGGTAACACACGCCTGTAATTCCAGCAACTCGGGTGGATGAGACACGAGAATCGCTTGAACCCAGGAGGCGGAGGCTGCAGTGAGCCGAGATCGTGCCACCGCACTCCAGCCTGGGCAACTGAGTAAGACGCTGTCTCAAAAAAAAAGAAAAGCAAAGCAAAGCGGCCGGGCGCGGTGGCTCACACCTGTAATCCCAGCACTTTGAAAGGCTGAGGCGGGTGGATCACGTGGTCAGGAGATCGCGACCATCCTGGCCAACACGGCAAAACCCCGTCTCTACTAAAAATGCGAAAATTAGCTGGGAGTGGTGGGCACCTGTAGTCCCAGCTACTCCGGAGGCTGAGGCAGGAGAATCGCTGGGACCCGGAAGGCGGAGGTTGCCGAGATTGCGCCACCGCACTCCAGCCTGGGGGACAGAGCGAGACTCCGTCCCAAAAAAAAAGGAAAGTAAAAGAAAAACTCTACGTGTATCGAACTGCATAGAAAGCCAGTTGAGAAATTTGGGCAAAAACGCGATAGCAAGCTTTCTGTTCAGGGGGAATGATGGCGTGTGCCTCTTCCAGGGACCGCCTGGAGCAGTTAGAAAGGAAGCGGGAGCGGGAGCGCAAGATGCGGGAGCAGCAGAAGGAGCAGCGGGAGCAGAAGGAGCGCGAGCGGCGGGCGGAGGAGCGGCGCAAGGAGCGGGAGGCCCGCAGGGAAGGTAGGCGGCGCGGCGGCGGCTGCGCTCGGCGGACGCGTGTCTGCTGCTGCCCCCTGGTGTCGGGCACGTGCTCTCACAGGCGGGTGCTTGGTCCCTGTGCTCGGTTTTGCCCCCGCCTTTTTTTGGGAGAGAGTTTCGCTCTTGTCACCCAAATTGAAGTGCAATGGCGCGATCTCGGCTCCCTGCAACCTCTGCCTCCCGGGTTCACGTGACTCTCCTGCCTCAGCCTCCCGAGTAGCAGGGATGACAGGCACCCGCCACCATGTTCAGCTCAGTTTTTGTATTTTTAGTAGAGACAGGGTTTCACCATGTTGACCAGGCTTGTCTCGAACTCTTGACCTCAAGTGATCCACCTGCCTCGGCCTCCCAAAGTGTTGGGATCACAGGCCTGCCCCTGCCTTTTTATTTTTTTTTTAAGACGGAGTCTCGCTTTGTCACCCAGGCTGGAGCCCCGTGGTACTATCTCGGCTCACTGCAACCTCCGCCTCCAGGGTTCAAGCAATCCTCCTGCCTCAGCCTGTGGAGTAGCTGGGTTTACAGGCGCCCGCCAGCACGCCCAGCTAATTTTTATATTTTTCGTGGAGACAGGGTTTCGCCATATTGGCCAGGCTGGTCGCAAACTCCTGACATCAAGTGATCCGCCTGCCTCTACCTCTCCAAGTGCTAGGATTACAGGCATGAGCCACCGCAGCTGGCCACCTCTTCCTTTTTTATTTCCCCAGTTTTTAGAAACTGTGATAAAACATGTATATTGTAAAATGTACCATCTTCACTATTTCAAGTGTAGAATTCAGTGGTATTAATGCATTCACAGTGTGGTGCAACCATCTATCCACAGAACTCTCTTCTTGTAGAATTAACACCGTCCCCATCAAACAGCAACTTCCTGTCCCCAGCCCCGGCACCCACCATCCCACTTTCTTTCAGTTTGGCTGCTCGGGATGCCGCTTGTGAATGGAATCGCAGTCATTGTCCTTTTGTGACCGGCTCACTCAGCAAAGTCCTCGGGGCGTCGTGCTGTGGTGGGGGTCGGCGGGCCCTTCCTTCTGCACCCTTGGAGGAGGAGGAGGAGGCGGCGGTGGCAGCCAGCCGCCTCACCGGGCTTTGTTACCTCTTGGCCTTACTGCCTCCCCCTCATTTTCCACATAATTGTCTTCTGTTCAGTTGAGTTTTTGGTAGAGAAATGTTTAAATTCCTCTCTCATTTATGTTTTATATCTCTCGACTTTCTGATTACAGTAACGATTACACTGAACATCCTGCAGTTATAATGCACTAGTTTGAATTGAATGCCAAGTTAACTGCAGTAAAATACAAAAACTTGACTCGGGGAGTGTATATTCAGGGCAACTTAAATCTATGCTCCCAGGCTGCAGCCCTTTGAAATAAAAACACAGTGAAGAAAACAAAAAACAAACTGCTTCTTTAGCAGTTCCACTCCCACTTCCTGCCGACACCACTAGATCACATTTAGACATTGTCCATAAATGATGGCATCTTTATGCATTGTCCATAAACTTAATAATCCCTTTTTAAATGCATTAGCCTGTTAAACTATGTAGAAAACAAAAAGTGGAGTTAAAAATCATTGTCACAACAATGCTTTTTGATTAATAATTGCTGCTTTTTAAATGTGTTAATCTTTTAAGTTATATAGAAGATAAAAAGTAGAGTTCTAAAACAATAACACGAGCTTTTATAGTTACCCACGTCCTCACCTGAATGGAGATCTTTATTTCTTCACCCAGCTTCCGGTTTCTGTCTCGCGTCCTTTCATTACACCCCACACAACTCCCTGGAGCTTATTCTCCAGGGCAGGTCTAGGTCTAGCAGTAATGAACTCCCTCTGCTTTTGTTTATCTGGGAATGTCCTCATTTCTCTCTCACCTTCGAAGGAAAGTTGCTGGATACGTGGTTCTTGGTTGATAATTTTTTTGTTGTTTTGAGACAGAGTCTTGTTCGGTTGTCCAGGATGGAGTGCAGTGGAGCAATCATAGCTCACTACAACCTCGAACTCCTGGGCACAAGAAATCTTCCCACCTCAGCCTCCCACGTGGCTGGGACGACAGGCGTGTGGCACCACACTCGGCTCATTTTTCAGTAGAAACAAGGTCTCCCTGTATTGCCCAGGCTGCTCTTGAATTCCTGGGCTCAAGGAACCCTCATGCCTAGCTGACAGTTTTTCCTTTTCACTTACAATATTTCAGCCCATTGTCTTCTGGCCTCCAAAGTTTCTGGTGAGAAATCTGATGATCTTATTGAGGATCCCTTGGATGCTTTTAAGATTCTCTTTGGCTTTGGCTTTCAACTGTTTAATAATGGGTTTTCGTGTGGGTCTCTTGATTTCATTCTGCCTGGAGTTCATTGAGCCTCTCTAATGTTTATATTCATGTTTTTCATCAAATGGGGGGGTTTTGAGTAATTCTTCAGATACCCTCTCTGTTCCTCTCCTGCTTCCTGGACTCCCACGGATCTGTTGGGGTCCCCGAGGCCCCTGAGCACTGCTCACTTTTCTTCGGTCTCTTCTGCTTTTTCCTCAGACAACATGATTTTATTGTTGTATCTTCAGGCTCACCAATTATTTCCTCTGCCTGCTCCATCTGCTTGTGAGTTTCTGTTGTGAATATTTACTTTTTAGTGTTTATTGTGAATGTGTACTTATTAGCTCTGGAGTTTCTCTCTGGTTTCTCGTTGAATCTTCTGTCTCTGTTGATATTTCCGCTGTGTTCACGCGTCATTTTCTTGACTTTCTCCACATCTTCCTTTTGTTCTCTGAGGAACTGAAGGTTGAGACAGTTCGTGAAGTCTTCGTCTGGGACATCTACCATCAGGTGATTTTCAGGAACGGTGTCTTGTTGGCTTATTTTTTTTCCCTCTGAATGGGACATACTCTCCTGTTTCTTTGTTTCTCGTGTTTTTCTTAGTCAAAAAAATGGACATTTGAATCTCATGATGCGATTCTTCCTGGTCCCCACTCAAGGGTGTGCACGTGCTGGTTTGGTCGTGCTGGGCTGTGTCTGGGGTCGGCCTGTTGTGGAAACTCGGGCTCTTCAGGGGTCTTTTCCGAGCCTGTGCCTTTCCCTGGTCATGTGCAGACACTCTTTAACGTTCCCGTCAATACAGCTGTTTTTAATGTTCTTGTCCTGAAGTGTCTGCCTCCTAAAGGGGGAAAAGAGAGAAATGAAGGGGGCAAAGGGGGATGTGGCGTTCATGCCCTGAAAGTACCTTCAGCCTGGGGGACAGCCGTGGCTGCTGCCTCTTCATGCCTCTGGGGTGGGACGCACAGTCATCACACCGACCTCGGGTGTGCGTGTCCGTCTGCCCACCTCGATCCGTCTACCCACGTGTGTCCGTCTGCCCTCCTGGGTCTGGCGAGCTGCATGCAGGCTGCTGCCTGCCACGGGGGGAGTGGGGTGGGAGCCACTAAATGTGTGAAGAGGTGACGTTGATTCATGAATCACAATTTACTCGCCAAGATTTCCCCTGAAGTTGCAAACCTTCAGTAGACTACAGAGCACCTCGGTAGTTGCACAGGACTGATCCTGTGAAGCAACTGCTCTCTAGGTGGGGAGACTGATTCCCAGCGCTTCCTACTCCATCTTTCCAGAATCTTCTCCCGCCCCTTCCTTTTTGACCAGTGAAGATCAGTCTAGAAGGTCCACCTGGGTCCTTGGGCTCACGGCCTCCAGGTTGGAGCTTTTTCTCCCTGGGCTTCTTAGCCTCTGACCCCGATGCCGTCAGCACCGTGTGTGCGCTGTGGGTGTGTCTGCCAGGTGTGGGTGTGGGAGACGAGGCAGCTGTGCCCGGGTGGGGCCTTTTGAGGAAGGCAGTGTTGCTAGTACCATCTCCCTCTCTGCCCTGCACGCCAGTGTCCGCACATCACCGAACGATGAGAGAGGACTACGGCGACAAAGTGAAAGCCAGCCACTGGAGTCGAAGCCCGCCGCGGCCGCCGCGGGAGCGGTTCGAGTTGGGAGACAGCCGGAAGCCAGGTGAGGCCAGGCCGGCGCCTGCGCAGAGGCCAGCACAGTGTGAGTCTTTTCTGGGGGGTGTTTGGCATAAATTTGTAAGATTCATGTAATGAAGGCCCAGCTAAGTAATGTCTTCAGAAGAAAATGATAGATGCGCTGGCTGAAGTCCTCTCGTGTTGTGAGAGAGACCGTGAGTGTCTGTGTGCGGCCAGGACACACGACGTGTGTTTATCCGCTGGGACCTTTGCCACTGGCCCCATTAGAGAAGTGACTTCCAGCATCTGTGGATAAGCTGGTTTCTTACCAAGCGAAGTTAATCATGCGAAAGGCACTAGTTTTGGGGTGGTGTTACCTTGTTTGTTTAAAAAGCATTTCCCCAAATTCACTTTTAATGGTTTATTTCATAAGTAAAAGAAGAGAAAATGGAAGAAAGAGACCTGCTGTCCGACTTACAGGACATCAGCGACAGCGAGAGGAAGACCAGCTCAGCCGAGTCCTCATCAGGTACCTGGAACCGCCTGGCCAAGGCCTTGACCACTGCTGCCAGGAAGGCCCAAGTTCACCCTCCGCCCTGCTGTCTTTCTACAGCGGAATCAGGCTCAGGTTCTGAGGAGGAAGAGGAGGAGGAGGAAGAGGAGGAGGAGGAAGGAAGCACCAGTGAAGAATCAGAGGAGGAGGAGGAGGAGGAGGAAGAGGAGGAGGAGGAGACCGGCAGCAACTCTGAGGAGGCGTCAGAGCAGTCTGCCGGTGAGTCACCACGACGACTCTGTGAGGTGTTGTGACTTCACTGTAGTGTTAGAAACTGCAGAGAAATAGCTGGTGGGCGGGGGAGTTGAAACTCCCTTCTATCTAGGACTTTCTCTGGACACCTCCACATCGATTCTTTTGTTTGTTTTTTGAGACGGAATCTTGCTCTGTTGCCCAGGCTGGAGTGCAATGGCACGATCTCGGCTCACTGCAACCTCCGCCTCTCGGGTTCAAGTGATCCCTCCTGCCTCATCCTCCCAAGTAGCTGGGACTACAGGCGTGGGCCACCATACCCAGCTAATTTTTGTATTTTTAGTCGAGTCAGGGTTTCACCATGTTGGCCAGGCTGGTCTCGAACTCCTGACCTCAGGTGATCCACCCGCCTCGGCCTCCCGAAGTGCTGGGATTACAGGTGTGAGCCGTCGCGCCCGGCCTCCGTCTCGATTCTTGGGAACACTTGTTGCTTAGCTGAAGCGGAGCCCGCATCCTGCCTGTGACAGCCCCACCCCAGTGCCGGTCTGAGCAGACGCTTCCTTTCTCTTGCAGAAGAAGTAAGTGAGGAAGAAATGAGTGAAGATGAAGAACGAGAAAATGAAAACCACCTCTTGGTTGGTAAGAGGCCTCCCTGGAGACAGAGCACCCTCCTTGTCTGTCTCCAAGTGCAGCGGCCCTCTCTTAAGACGGCCGGTCCTGCGAGGCAGGGGGCACGCCAGGGGCCGGGAGGCTGCCTGATTCACTGGCCGCTACAGTCTGTGCCGGCGGGGCCCGCGTTCCTCAGTGAGGCACAGTGTTAACCAAGGACGTCCCGTGTGCCCAGCAGGGCCGAGGAGCTGGGAAGCCCAGGCCCAGTTCCCCACAGGGGAGGCCAGTCAGATGGTGGCTCGGCCGGTCCCTGCAGAGTGGAGGCCTGGCCTGGCCTCCGGCCGGCAGTGAGGCTGTGTCTTCCGCCTGGGGGACATGGATCCAGGCGTGTCCCCCGCAGGACACCGCGTACCTCCTCCCAGCTCAGCATCTGGGCGCTTTTTCAGTCAAGCCCGCCAGCGCTCCTAGGCCTCAGTGCCCTGGGTCCAGGAGGCAAGAGCCCAGCACCAGCACCTCCCAGCAGGACACAGGGCAGCCCTACCACATGCTTCATGTCCCCAGGGCAGGAGGAGGTTCGTGATCTTTGCTTGTCTTAGCTTCATAATTAGGTTCAACTTTTCCAGTTCCAGAGTCACGGTTTGACCGAGATTCCGGGGAAAGTGAAGAAGCAGAGGAAGAAGTGGGTGAGGGGACGCCGCAGAGCAGCGCCCTGACGGAGGGCGACTACGTGCCCGACTCCCCCGCCCTGTCACCCATCGAGCTCAAGCAGGAGCTGCCCAAGTACCTGCCAGCCCTGCAGGTCAGGCCCTCCCCTCGCCCCGGGCCGCTCGCTGTCTGCATTGGCAGTTGGAGTTACCGCAGGGGCTGAGCGAAGCCTGGCCCCGTGTTGGCGTCTGTCTCCTCACAGGGCTGCGGGGCCCACCGGGGCAGTGAGGGGCAGGCACAGCCGCTGGCCCCTCGTGCTTCTGGGTCCTGCCTCTTTCTCGTGCTGGACGGAACTGGGTGGACAGGGAGGTGCCCGCAGCTTGGAAGGCAGGCAGCCTGGGCGTGCGGCTGCCCTGCTGTCACTGCCACCTGAGCTGTGTCCTCCTCTGCACTGGAGAACAGTGCCCTCCAGTTGACCCCTGCGTGGGTGGGTTATGTAGGCACCAAGGCCTTGTTACCAGCATCTGTGCGGGGCTTGGATGGTGGCTGCGGGAGTCAGTGTAGATGTGTGTGGCCAGAAGCCTTTTGTTCAGGCAGCTATCAATGAGGCAGGATATTGCTTGGAGCAATTTGGAAGGGACAGGCCTGAGAAGGTACCAGTGGCCTCGGGGGCCTAGGAGACCGGCAGGGACTCAGCCCCCTCCTTGGTGCCTGTGGGTGGAGAGGTTCTCTCTGGCACATGCGGCCTCTGTCGACTGCTCTATGCATTGTGAGCGCCTCTGCCCCTTAGTGTTCCTGAGCATAGGCGTTGGGCCACAGGCCACCCCGAGTATGTGACATCCGGCCTGGGCACCGGCCCCAAGGTACACCCAGGGGGAGGTGCCCTGGCATGGGGCGCCATGCTGCACCTGGCAGGTAGTGCCCGTCCTCAGTGTCATCCTGGTACAAGCAGGGGACACACCCAGTTTGACAGGGACTCTCTGGATGGCGTTTTTTTTTGGAGACTGGGTCTGGCTCTGTCACCCAGGCTGGAGTGGAGTGGCTTAATCATAGCTCACTGCAGCCTACACCTCCCAGGCTCAGACAATCCTCCCATCTCAGCCTCCTGAGTAGCTAGAACTACAGGCGCAATCTGCCATGCCTGGCTAAGTTTTTAATTTTGTAGAACACAGTTTTGGCCGGGCACAGTGGCTCACGCCCATAATCCCAACACTTTGGGAGGCCGAGGTGGTGGGTGGATCATGAGGTCAGGAGTTTGAGACCAGCCTGACCAACATGGTGAAACCCCATCTCTACTAAAAATACAAAAATTAGGCCGGGCGCGGTGGCTCAAGCCTGTAATCCCAGCACTTTGGGAGGCCGAGACGGGTGGATCACGAGGTCAGGAGATCGAGACCATCCTGGCTAACACGGTGAAACCCCATCTCTACTAAAAATACAAAAAACTAGCTGGGTGAGGTGGCGGCGCCTGTAGTCCCAGCTACTTGGGAAGCTGAGGCAGGAGACTTGCGTGAACCCGGGAGGCGGAGCTTGCAGTGAGCTGAGATCTGGCCACTGCACTCCAGCCTGGGCGACGGAGCGAGACTCTGTCTCAAAAAGAAAAAAAAATACAAAAATTAGCCAGGCGTGGTGGCGCGTGTCTGTAATCCCAGCTACTCAGGAGGCTGAGGCAGGAGAATCGCTTGAACCCAGGAGGTGGAGGTTGCAGTGAGCCGAGGTCTCACCATTGCACTCCAGCCTGGGTGACAGAGCAAGACTCCATCTCAAAAAAGAAAAAAGAAAAGAAAACAGAGTCTTGCTGTGTTGGCGAGGCTGGTCTTGAACTCCTAGGCTCAAGCAATCCTGCCTTGCCCTCCCGAAGTGCTGGAGTTATAGGCCTGAGCCCTCACACCCGGCTGGGATGGCCTTTTGTTCACACTGGTTTTGTTTCATAATAAAGTGTCACATGGTCTTGCAAGGAAACAGACTTTGAGAACTGAGCTGCTCCTGGCCCTACCCCCTGCCCAGTCCCACAGCTCTGCCCTGCACCCGCCCTGCGCCAGGTGTGCCGTGCCCGTGGACGCAGCCGCCCTCCTTCCAGCTGGCATGGCCACTGAGACCTCACATAGCCGCTCCCTCCCCAGGGCTGCCGGAGCGTCGAGGAGTTCCAGTGCCTGAACAGGATCGAGGAGGGCACCTATGGAGTGGTCTACAGAGCAAAAGATAAGAAAACAGGTGGGTGGAGTCCCGGCTCACCCCACAAAGACAAGGGGAAGTGGGGCAAGGCCTGGCCGCCCGAGAGGTCCTGCCTCACCTGAGCAGCTACTGGAGGTTGGACCTCTCAGCGTCTCTAGAAGCCAGAGGTCAGCCTGGCCCTGGGGCTTTGCCACTCCCTCGCAGTAGCAGGTGGCCTGCCCCACAGGGCCGAGACCCAGCGCGTGGAGTGGTCTGCGCCAGGGCTGGTCTGCAGGTTTGCATTCCCAGCGTCCCGCCCAGCAGGTGTGTGAGCCGGGGACTCTTGGGGAGTCAGCCACTGGGATCCCAGGTAAGGCCAGCTCTGTTGGGGAAGTTGACATGGAGTCGGCGTGGCCGCTGGGATCCCAGGTGGCTGTAGGTGGCTGTGGGTGTCCGTGGTGCGTTGAGAGTGTGGAAGCCGTTGGTCCGTTGGTGTTGCCATGACCTCGGCTGGGCGTTCTCCTGGTGCCCACGTGCCGCCATCTAGAACGAGACCCCCCTCCGTGAAATGCACTTTGGGCACTGCCTGTGATCCTCACTGAGCAAGTCCACAAAACCACTGTTGGTGCCGTGATTTTGAGAATGCCTCTCAGTGCCGTCTGTTTCCTTCACAGATGAAATTGTGGCTCTGAAGCGGCTGAAGATGGAGAAGGAGAAGGAGGGCTTCCCGATCACGTCGCTGAGGGAGATCAACACCATCCTCAAGGCCCAGCATCCCAACATCGTCACCGTTAGAGTGAGCATGGCCCCACCGCGCACAGCCCCGGGTAGAAGGCTTTTCCCACGGCCCCATGTTGTCCTGGTGCTGTCCTGGGGCCAGGTGCTTCCCTGCGCTTAGCGGAGCCCTTCACAGACCACATAGAAGCAAGCATTCGCCCCCCCGGGTGGCACTGGAGGTCCTACTGTCCCTCAGCATCTGCGCCCGGGTTCAGGTGGTGGCAGGGGTTGGGGGGCCCTGAGGTGCCCACAGAGCCATGCCCTGCAGGAGATCGTGGTGGGCAGCAACATGGACAAGATCTACATCGTGATGAACTACGTGGAGCACGACCTCAAGAGCCTGATGGAGACCATGAAGCAGCCCTTCCTGCCAGGTACAGCGCCCCCAGGCCTCTTGGCACACAAGCGGGAGCAGTGTCCTGGTCACCCCCGCGGTGACACTGCTGCAGGGAGGGCCGGCTGCATCCACAGGGAAAGCCCTGAGAAGCCTCTGTTGCTGCTGAGGCGAGTGGGCCACCCTGAATGCCCCGGGCTGGGGGCGGTCGGGTCCACATGGGAGCCTGTCTCCTTCCCTCCCAGGGGAGGTGAAGACCCTGATGATCCAGCTGCTGCGGGGGGTGAAGCACCTGCACGACAACTGGATCCTGCACCGCGACCTCAAGACGTCCAACTTGCTGCTGAGCCACGCCGGCATCCTCAAGGTGAGCCTCCCCCCACCCCCCGAGCGGCCCAGCCCGGGAGACCTGCCCGGCCCATGCACAGCCGCCCATCTGTCCTTGCAGGTGGGTGACTTCGGGTTGGCGCGGGAGTACGGATCTCCTCTGAAGGCCTACACCCCGGTCGTGGTGACCCTGTGGTACCGCGCCCCAGAGCTGCTGCTTGGTGCCAAGGTGAGTCCTGGGCATCTGAGAGCCTCCCCTGCCCCCCATGCGGTCTCCCACAGCTCCGCGGGCCCTGGCCCTCCTGAGCGCCTCTCCTGTCCTCGTAGGAATACTCCACGGCCGTCGACATGTGGTCGGTGGGCTGCATCTTCGGGGAGCTGCTGACTCAGAAGCCTCTGTTCCCAGGGAAGTCAGACATCGACCAGATCAACAAAGTGTTCAAGGTGGGTCTGGGCCCCGCTGCAGTTGTGCTGTGGGGTTGTGGAGGAGCCGCAGGAGTGGGGCTGGGGGCACCCAGGTGCTGGGTTGAGATGGGGACCGGGGCCACCGAGAGCCCTCCTGGTGGTTTGTCTTCTCTACTGGGACACAGGTGCCAACACCATGGGCCACGTGGCGTGGCTGTTGAAACGCCTCTGTCTTTCAGGACCTGGGGACCCCCAGTGAAAAAATCTGGCCCGGCTACAACGAGCTCCCCGCAGTGAAGAAGATGACCTTCAGCGAGTACCCCTACAACAACCTCCGCAAGCGCTTCGGGGCCCTGCTCTCAGACCAGGGCTTCGACCTTATGAACAAGTGAGCCCCGTGCAGCCGGGCGGCGGGAGGTCCCGAGCCATAGTGGTGACTTCCCGGTCCCAGGCCCACCTGCTGGCTCAGCACTTTCCAGAACTGTTCTGGTGCCCGGTGCCCCATGCCCTGAGCCCTGTCCCAACACAGCCCATCTCTGGGGAACCCAGTGGAGCACTCGAGCACCTCCTGGGCCTCTGGTCCTCTCCCCCCAGGTTCCTGACCTACTTTCCCGGGAGAAGGATCAGCGCTGAGGATGGCCTCAAGCACGAGTATTTCCGCGAGACCCCCCTCCCCATCGATCCTTCCATGTTCCCCACGTGGCCTGCCAAGAGTGAGCAGCAGCGTGTGAAGCGGGGCACCAGCCCGAGGCCCCCTGAGGGAGGCCTGGGCTATAGCCAGCTGGTGAGGGGCCTGGCTGGTGGGGCGTGCCCAGAGGTGGGGCTGGCTTGGGCAGGGTCCTCACGGTAGCCGACTCGTCCTAGGGTGACGACGACCTGAAGGAGACGGGCTTCCACCTTACCACCACAAACCAGGGGGCCTCAGCCGCGGGCCCCGGTTTCAGCCTCAAGTTCTGAAGGTCACAGTAGACCCCGTCATGGGGAGAACTCAGCCGGGACCACAGGCGCGGCTACTGCGGCTGGAGCTGCCATGAGACTCAGAACTCCTCCTCTTATTTCGTGCTCCACGTTTTGTTTTTGTATTTTGGTTTGTAAATTTGTAGAATTAAATCATTTTCCTTGTTGTGGAGGAAAGAGCTGTGTTTTCAGGTCTCCCTGACTTGCCCAGGGAGGAGAGGGTGGGCATCTGCAGGCACCTACTTGGGGCAGCACAAACCCCCACACGCCCTGTCCCATTCTCGACACACCGGGCTGGCTGGGCCGTGATTTGGAGCAGGTGGGGGTCGGGTGGATTGTTTCATCTTTGGAGCTGGAGACCTGTTTCTGTGTTGGGATGAGTGATGCTTTCCTGCCCCAACTCCCTCGTCCAGACCAGCCCTGTCCACACAGGCCCCCGGCCCCCAACCCCCAGCCCCAGGTATTCTGGCAGCCTCAGCAGGTTTTTATACAAGGTTGTTACGAGTTTTAAAATGTATTAAAATATTCTTGGAGGAAAGCTCCCCGTGTTCTTCTTTCAGTAGCCCGGGACCGTGTGTGGGAGGGGAGTCGCAGACCACCAGGCTCTAGGGGAAGAGGGTGGGGTGGGTGGCTGTGGCCTCTAACCCCACGTGGGCCAGTCTCTTCCCCAGGCAGGAGGGGTGCTCCTATCTCCGGGGGGCCTCCACTCTGGCAAGGTGGTCCCCCACCCTGTGCCAATCCTCCCAGCCCCCACCCACATCCCCTTGCAGAAGATCCTGGAGACCCATCCCAATCCCGAGCTTCCCGAAGGGAAGCTCCCCTTGCCTCCCTCCCCCATCTCTGAGCAAGCCCTAGACAGAACCCAGGCTTCCGGGGCTACCCCACGTGCTGTCCCCGGCACTGGGGCCTCCACTATCCCACTTTTCCAGGGGCCACCTTGGCAAAGCCTGTCCTGTGCTGTATCTGTCCTCTGCTGTGCAGGAAAGCAGGGGGTGCCTGGCCCCAAGGGCGCCCACCTCTTGGTGGACCAGGGGCTGAGGTGTCCACCTGCCCAGACTGCCCGCTGCCCTCCCGAGAATGAACGAGAGGACATCAGAGAGAAAGTGCTTTATCAGCCGGGCTCAGCCCCGCACACGGACTCGCCAGGAGTAGGTGGTCAGCACGCGCTGCTGGCGGCGCACCACGCAGGTGTAGGTGCCCTCATTGACGGCGTTGGCAATGATGCTCAGGTGTGCCTCACCCAGGGCCAGGTAGCCGGGGTAGGAGAACTCCAGGGGCTCCTGGTCCTTGTACCAGCTGCAACGGGGCGGGGTGTCTCCTGCAGGCACAGCCTCCACCCACTGCCTGCCCTGCACCCCTGCCCCAGGGCCCCAGGCTGCCCACCCTGAGGACCCGCCAGGGCACCCACTTACTACACTTTTCCTTTTTTGTGGAGAATCTTGTGGCCGCACCGGAAGGTCACGTTCCTGCCCTCAGGCACCAGCCTGGTTTTGGTCCTGGGGGGCGGTGGGGTGGTGGCCACCGTCGGGAAGGGGAATTCTGCTCCGGGTAAGGGAAGAGCCCCCTCAGCCCAGACCATAGCCAAGACCCAGCCCCCACGCAGCCCCGTCCCGGCCCGTGGGAGCCCAGACCATAGCCAAGACCCAGCTCCCACGCAGCCCTGTCCCGGCCCCTGGGCATCACCGTAGCAGAAGTCGCAGCTGCTGGGGCAGAGCCTCTTCATGAGGCGCCGGCGAGCGTCGCAGAAGCCCCTCCGTGCCCAGGACGCGCACACGAAAAGCCTGTCCAGGCATCCTGCCGGGAGCGTGGGAAGCACGGCCTGGCTCAGGACCGCCCGATCCCCGCCCTCCCGCCCAACAAGGGCACTCACCGTAGAGCCGGTGCAGCCCCCACAGCTCGTCCTGGGACAACGCCTTCCAGCCGCGCAGCGTGGCGTTCAGGTGCATGAGCGCCCGGCCGTGTTGTGAGTGCATCAGGCCCAGCGCGTGGCCGATCTCGTGGGCCGCCACGTGCACCAGGTCCGTGAGCCACACGCCTGCGGGCCCCGGGGATCAGCGCCTGGGAGCCCCGGGCCCAGCCCCGCCGCCCGTGGGCCAGCTCCCCAAGGCCCGGCACATCTGCTGGAGCGCAGCCGCGGAGCCGCCCTCCGCCGCAGCCACGGAAAGATAAGAATGTTCTGGGCCCAGGCGGTGAGCTCGGCCCCCAGGAATGCAGCTCCTGCTCCCGCTCCAGAGTCGCAGGGGGATGGGAAAGGGAGTTCAGGGCTGCCGGGACTGGGGGCTCCCACGGGCTCCCCTCCTTGCCTGCTCGACTCCAGTAGCAGCCACCACCCCGGAAGGTCCCTCCTGCCGTCTGCCCCAAAGCCCGACCGCGGCAGCCCACTGCGCTGCGGAGGAGAGGCCTCCGGGAGGCCAGCCTGGACGGTCACCTTTCTTCCAGCTGTAGCGCGTGGGGCCCAGCACCCAGTACTCGCTGTCGTCGAAGTGGATGCCGCCGTGCGGGGGGAAGAAGGCATGGGCCAGCTCCCCCGTGGGGCCATCGAAGCAGTGGTGCAGCGCGGAGACCAGGCAGTCCGTGTGGTTGATCGGGTAGAAGCCTGAGGGGAGCACAGGGCTGAGAGGCCAGGCGCGCACGGCCGGGCCGGGGCGGGGGCGGGCGCCCACCTATCCGGAGGTCGCTGGGCTGCTCGGGGGCCACCTCTCGGAAGCTGAAGGGGGACACGTCGCTCCACATGCGGAAGGCGGCAGCCAGGGCCCGCCGCGTCTCCCGCGGGCTCAGCAGGTTCCGAGGGAAGGAGAGGATCCTGCAGGGAGAGCGAGCTCAGCGGGGGCCGGCCGCGCCCCCTCCCCCAGGGCCAAGCCAGGGCGCACCTGTAGGTGAGGTTGAAGTGGTCCCAGCGCAGCCTGGCTGGAGTCAGCGTGTAGCGGCGTCTGCGGGGGGCCAGTGGGCCCGGGACCCGGGTTGGGGGGACCCCCGAGAGGCCCGGCGCAGCGGCGTCTCCCTTCAGGGAAGAAAGCGTGCGTGGGAGGCATCGGTGACGGTCCCCAGGGCCAAAAACTGCCTCGGAAAATGGACTGGAAGGAAACGGGGGTGGGGGTGCCCAGGGCTGGGAGCGGGCGTGGCGGGTCCTGTCTGCCTGTGCTTTCGGGTCTCCTAACCTGAGCGTCCTGTTGCACGTCCCTGGGAACGCGGCCCAGTGGAGGCGAAGGGGCTGAACAGCAGGGCGCGGCCTCCCACCCCTCCCAACAACTGGACACAGGAGAGTCCGACCCTCCGACCTCGGGACGCACATCCGGACCCTCAAACACCCCACACACCCCGCACACGTCCTGCGGGCCCCCAGACAGACCAGACCCACAGACGTGACAACCCCCACCCCGACACCTGGCTTCCCCGCCCGCCGCTCACCTGCGCTGCGCTCCAGGCCGGCACCGCCGGGGCCCCCAGCCGGGCCAGCAGCACCAGCACGGGGAGGAGGCACAGGGCGACCAGCGCGGCTCCAAGCCAGCGGCGCTCGACGCCGGCCCCCGGGGCCTCCGAGGGGACACGGGCCCCGCGGCCCATGGCGGACTTGCTGTGGGGCTCAGGGCCGCATGGGGCAGCACGGCGCGGGGGCCCGGGCCGCAGAGCCGCCGGGGAGGATCTGGAGGGGAGGCAGTGGCTGGGCGGCTCGGGTTACAGCCCCGTGGGTGGGGGGGGGAGACGGGGCGGGAGAGGGGGCAAGGCTGCCCCTGAAGGGAACCAGCTGGCCCGACCGTTGGCCGAGCTGCCTGCTGCCTCCAGCCGGGGGCATGGGGACCCGCGTCCTGTGGGCCAGGGGCAGAGGCCTGGGCATGGCCTGCTGGGCGGGGTCCTCGGAAGGGGGGAGCGAAGAGGGCCCCAGGCAACCCGGGAAGGGCAGCGCCAAGGCTCCCGCTTAGGAAAGGGCAGCCAGTGGGGTCCCCGAGCCGGCCGGGCATGAATGACCTGGTGGCTTTTTTCCCAAATGGAATCCCCAACAATCCCCTGAGCCCCACAGGAGCGGAGTCTCCATCCTGGCCCAGGAGGCTGAGCTGGGCCGCAGGGGACGCGCCGCCCGCCTGACAGTGTCCCCGAGAGCTGGGAGGGGACGGCAGGATGGGGACGTGGCAGTGAGTACGGGGCGGCGGAGGGGGAGGCGGGGAGGGGGTGCGTGGGTAGGGAAGGGCCACGGAGGGTGCCAGGTTGCGGGTCGGAGGGAGGGAACTTGTCGGGGTCTCCCAGGGAGCCGGGAAGGGGCGGGCCCTGGCTCGGGGGAACCCCGTGGGCGGCGGCGCGGGAGGTGGAGGGTGTGTGGCTCCTGAATCCCCGGCTAGGCCCCAGCAAAGGGGAGAGGGAAACGGGAGGGGGAACGGGAAGCGGAGCCAGGCGCCGGGCATAGAGGTCTGGACCGGTCCTGATTGGGGGTGGGGGCGGGGAGCTCGGAGGCCCAAAGCCTCGACGGGGCGGCCTGTGTCCAGACGCGAGCGGCTCGGGGCTGGGACCGAGACCCGGCACCGGCGTCCCGTGGGGCGGGGGTGGGGGATTGGGCAGAGAAGCAGGAGATTCCGAGCCAGACCGGCCTGTGTCCCGTCCCTCCCCGTTTTCCGCGCCGGCCTCGGGCCCAGGGTGACGGCAGCCCGGCCAACGGGGTCAGCGCCAAGCAGCTGGCGGCGGCCGCGGGCGGTTCTTGGAAAGCGCGAGCCGCTGGACCCGCCCGCGTATTTGCTTCGACACCGCCCCCCACCAGCTCGTCCCCCCCCACCTGCGTGCGCCCAGTCCCTTCCCCAGGTCCCAGACCCTGCCTTGGACGCCCCCCAACTGCCTGCTGGGACGGGACCCCACAGCCCTGGGGAGCGTCGGGCCCCTTGGGTCAGAGCGCGAGCCCCCACGGCCGCCCCCAGGGCGAAGGAGCGAGGGGGGCCCGGGGGCGAACACAGGAGCCCCCGCCCCGTCGGACCCGGGCCCGGATGGCGGGAGGCGGCCGTGCCCACGCCGGGAGGGTGTCCTGGCCCGGAGGCCGCAGTCTGGACGGGAGTCTAGACGCAAGAGCCTGGGGCGGGCGGGGCGCACCCCAGGGAAGGAGGGGCCCCCAGGCTCGCCCGCGTGTCCCGAGGAGAGGACCCCAGAGGCGCCCGGTCCCCCAGGCAGACAGCGGAGGCAACGTCCGAGAATCTTTTTATAAAACACAGGGCGGGGGCTCGCGAAGGCAGCTCGGGCGTGGCGGGCGGCGCGGCTCACACGAAGATCTGGATGCGGTCGCGGATGGGCTGGCGGCAGATCGGGCAGGCGCTGAGCGCGGAGCCGCAGGGGGCGCATGCGCCGTGGCCGCACTGGAACACGAGGCGGATGTGGCTGTCGATGCAGATGGGGCAGGTGATACGTTCCTCCATCTGCCGGTAGCGGCTCTGCAGCTCCTCCACCAGCTGGCGCGGCGGGCCGGGGGCGGGGGCGGCGCTCGCCACCTCAGAGCCGTCTGCGGGGTGAGGGACGGGTGTGAGCTGCGAGGCCGGTGGGGGAATGGGGGAGCGGGGAGCTGCAGGCGGGCAACGGGGGGCGAGGCTGGGGGCGGGGAGTCACCTGGGACGGGGTGTGACCTGGAAGGGGAGTTGGTGGAGTGGGTGTGACTTGGAGGCAGAGCTGGGGCCTGGCTGCGGGCAGGATGTGAACCGTGGAGATCAGGCGTAAGGTGGTGTGGGGGCTGGAGTCAGGGCCGCAGGTGGGGTGGGTGTGACCTGGGGCGGGGTGTGATGGGGAGGCGGTGCTCTGGGTGGGCTGTGATCTGGGGTGGGGCTATGGAGAGTGTGATCTGGGAGGGGCCGTGAAATCCAGCGGGACTAGGGTGTGACCTGGGGAGGAGGGTGTTACCTTCAGGCGGGGTTATGGGCAGGGTGTGGTCTGCAGCAGGCCGTGACCTCTGGCGGGGCTAGGGCCAGGGTGTGAGCCTTGGGAGGGCGGGGCGCGACCTGGGGAAGGGCCATGGGCAGAAGTGTGGGAGGGGTGGGGGACAGGGACCCGGGGACCACCAGCTGAGCAGGAGGCGTGTCAGGGGCGCCGAGCCTCACCCACCTGCGCGTAGCTTCTTGCTGACGGCCACCTGGCACCTGATGCACTTCTTCATCCTGCGCGCGCACTCTGCAGAGAGGAGCGCGGTTGGCTGGGGCTGGACTACCCGGGCGCACCCCCCGGGGCCCCCCCCTCACCCTCGCGCACTCTGCGAAGAAGAGCGCCCGGTTGGCTGGGGCCGGACTACCCGGGCTCCCCTCCCCGGGGCCCCCCCTCACCCTCGCACACTCTGCGGAGAAGAGCGAGCGGTTGGCTGGGGTCAGACTACCCGGGCTCCCCCCCTCGGGGCCCCCCACTCACCCTCGCACACGGTGCGGTGCTGGCATGGCGAGAACAGCACCAGCAGCGCCAGCTCGGAGCACACCAGGCACTCAGCAGCCTCGGGCCCCGGCGCGGCGCCCACGTGCAGGTTCGTCACGGTGTTGGGGGTCCCGAGCGCGTGCCTGGGGCCTGGGGCCGCGCCCCCGCCCGCCTGTCGCTCCCTGCAGGGGGAGGAGGCGGCTTGAGAGCGGCCCGGAGGCCGCAGGACCCCCTCCCCACCGCCCGCGGGCTCACCGGAAGCGCTGGGCGCAGCCTTGAAGGGCCTTGAGCACGCGGCCCTCGGCGGCCAGGTCCAGCGGGCTCCGGCCGCGGTGGTTGGTGTAGCTCACGTCGGCGCCCTCCAGCGCCAGGAAGCAGGCGACCGCCGCGCCCACCGTCAGCTCCGCGCTGCCGGGGAGGCCCGAGGCCTGTAGCTGGGCGGAGGACAGACGCCGGTGAGGGCGGGCGCCGGGGCAGGCCCGAAGGAGGCGTCTCCTGGCACCCGGCAGCCCCAGCAGCCGGCGCCCCAGGTCTAAAATAGAAGGCAGGGGCACCTCTTCCGGAACCCAGGTGGGACAGGCAAGAGGGGCACCCTGCTGGGTGAACTCTGAGACCCTAAGCCCCACCTCTCCCCACCCCATGGGCACCACCCCTCTCCCAGGCTGCCTAGGGGTGCAGGCTGAAGGATCACATAGAACTTGGTTCCGTCTGCTCCACCCCCAGAACGCCTGGCTCCCTGGGCCATCACTGGCCACTTCCTCACCCTGGACATCAGCTGCAAGGGCCCTGGGTCCCCCCCGGCCCCATCAGCCACCAGGGGCAGCAGCTGATGACGCTGCAGCGCCACGTGCAGGGCTGTGTCCCCCTCCTCGTCCTCGGCGTTGACACTGCACCCAGCGTCCACCAGCAGTGGCACCAGCCCCACATGGGCCTGCTGCACGGCTAGATGCAGCGGGGACTGCAGCTTCCGGTTGCGCACATTCACGTCACAGCGGCCCTGGGGAGGGGTGGGCACGGGCTCAGACCAGGGACCCCAGTGGGCCTCCCGCTCCCTGGTCCTTGGGCAGGCCTGGGCCGCGCCCTCACCTCCCGGATGAGGATCTGGGCCACCTCACGGTGGTTGTTGAGGGCGGCCAGGTGGAGCGCCGTGAAGCCGTCCCCCTTCTTGGCGTCCACCAGCTGCCGTGCCCGAGCCAGAATCTTTCTCACAGCTCTGTGGGAGAAGGGAGGTTGGTCTGGGACCTGGGACTGTCCCTGGGCAGCACAGCAAGAGGCTGGCCGCAGCTGTGTGCCCGCTCCACACTCACAGCGCGTGGCCTTTGAGGGAGGCATGGTGCAGCAAGGTGAAACCCTGGCTGTTGGTGGCGGTGACATCGATGTTTGGCACCTCCGTGAGGACCTCGACGATGCCACTGGCGCCAGTGCCCGCCGAGATGGCGGAGTGCAGGGGCGTGTCCGAGTGGGCATCCTGCTGGGGCAGAGTCCGTGGTCACTTGGGGGTGACTTCTGCTTGGGTCAAGAGCCAGGGTACCCAGGGAGCAGTGCTCACGGGCAGGGGGCACCCAGGGAGCAGCGCTCACGGGCAGGCGGCACCCAGGGAGCAGCGCTCACGGGCAGGGGGCACCCAGGGAGCAGCGCTCACGGGCAGGGGGCACCCAGGGAGCAGCGATCACGGGCAGGCGGCACCCAGGCCAGGTGGAAGCAGAACTCACAGGCAGGTTGACGTCACAGCCATGCTCACACAGGGCCCGCACCACCTCCAGGAAGCCCCTCTGCACGGCCACGTGCAGCGCTGTGCTCTGGGTGCTGTTGATGGCATCTGCCCGGCACCCAGCATTCAGGAGCACCCTGCCGACCTCAGGCTGGTTCCTGACGGGAGAGGACGTGAGAGGGAGGGCGCCGTGCCCACTGGCTGGACACACAGGCTCAGCCCTGCCAGGCCCCTCCCGGGCCCCTCCCAGACCTCACCCCAGGGCCGCATAGTGCAGCGCCGTGTTGCCCTCATCGTCCGGCAGGTCCACGCCCGCCCTGGCTTGTAGCAGCAGCCGTACCAAGTCCACCTGACCCAGGTAGGCAGCCACTTGCAGAGCGGTCCTGCCTTGGTTCTTGGTGTCCACCTGCCAGGAGAGCCAGCAGGTGAGTCCCTGGCCTTCTGCCCCTCACCCTCAGACTGGACGGTGTGGGAGGACGGGGGCGGGAGCTCGCCTGCTCTGGACGCCTCCGCAGCAGGTCCAGAGCCCGGGCCATATTACCCAGCGCCACCTCCACCACCAGTCTTCCCGGGTGCTCCGGGTCACTCTTCTGGGCCCGAAGCTTGTCCAGGGCCACGCTCAGTGAGCCTGGGGGGGAGGGCTGAGGTTAGCAGTGGCCAGGGGCAGCCCCACCGCCCACAGCCGCCTGAGCTGTGCCGCACTTTTGTTCTCCCGGGCGCGCTCAGCCACGTCCAGGTTGGCATCCTCCTCGGGCCGGTAGGCCACCAGGCAGGAGGGGCTGAAGGTCCACCGCTGACCAGCGACTGCTACACGCAGGTTCCCGTCTCCAAACACTTTCACCACTTTCCCGACGCGGCCCAGGGCCTGCGGGGAGGGGAGGGGGTCACAGCAGGCTGCAGGTGTGGGGGGCAGCGGCCCTAGCGGCGGGGGCGGCAAGGGGACTCACAGGGGCCATGTCGTCCGTCCACTCGCCATGCCCAGCCTGCAGCCGCTTCACCGTGTCAAGGTCGCCGATGACCCGGACCACGTCGCCCACCCAGAAGGAGTGGTGCTGAGCAACAGAGAGGGGCGTGAGGGGCCCCCAGCTGTGTGTGGCTGCCCAGGCTCATGGAGCACAGGAGGGCAACTCGCTGAGCTCCACCAGACAGGCAGGCCTGACTCGGCCCCGGCCCCGACCCCAACCCCAACCCCAAGCACTGCCAGAGGCTCTGGCTGGACAAGAGCCCCAGGTGTCCAAGGCAGCCCTGGGTGTCCCCAGCCCCAGAGCCATGGGAGGAGTGTCCAGGCAGATAGAAGCCAGCTCTGGGCAGGTGTGAAGCCGAGGTGGCCGGCCGTGGGGAGCTGTACACTGACCAACAGCAGGCAGCATGGCCAGGGCCCCGTGAGCCAGTGTGGGGGTGGGGCCCCAGGACATTGGGGTGCAGGGCGGGCCCACTCTGCCCCACCTGAGCCCTCATATGCAGGGAACTCACTCTACAAGCCCATCTCATGACTCCCCTTGGCGCTTCCTCAAAGGTGCCTGGTATCCAGGACCCCAGATCCAGATTTGAGCTCTGACGCTTTGTTCTGGGCCTGCCCCGCCCAGGGCCATCCAAGCTGCCACCGCCACCACCTCCAGCCCCTTCCCTGCCATCCTGCTTCCCAGGCAGCCCTCACTACCTCCCACACCACTAGGGTGGTGGGGACCGCCACCCTAGGCCAAACGTGCACCTCCCTGTCCTAACCAGCCACCCCCATCGGCCCCCATACAGCACTAACCAGGAGCATCTTAGCCCAGCTGCCTCCCTCCCGCCCACGAAGCTGTCCTGCCTTCCTGGTGTCCTGGAACCGAGGGAGGCCCTAACCTGCCCATATCAGCCACGCCAGCTCCCAGAGACATACCCACCTCTGGGTTCCTTCACACCCAACCCCCTCTTCTCCTTGACCCCACCCACCAGTCCCTACCCTTCCTTCAGGGCTGGGGACTCGTGGGTACAGCTGGCACCCTAGTCCCGCCTGACCCCCCGAGGCCGAGTGGATACATGGAAGGGGTTACAGAAGCAAACAGATGGGGTGCAGCCCAGCCCCCCAGGCACCTTGGTGAGCGCCCCGGGGTGGAAGGTCCAGCGCGTCTCGTGGTTGAACTGCACGCGCACGTCCCCGCGGTCCGTGATGCGATGCACGGTGCCCGTCTGTCCGATAAACTGTGGCGGGTCATGGAGCTGTGGCTGGGTCGGGCTGGACGCTTGGGGAAGAAGGGGCTGGGGGTCCGCAGGGCTGGGAGGGCAGGGCACACAGGGCTCCACGGTGGGGCGGCTCACCTCCGCCATCCTGGGGTTCCAGCCGCCGTGGCCTTCCTGCATCTCCCGCAGGACGTCAGTGTCCAGCAGACATTTGACCTTGTCCCCGTGCTGGAAGGGCTGACCGTCAGCACTCACCCTGCGCTGCAGCTCGGCCGGCTTGCCTGGGGGAGGGTGGCAGGCCTCAGGCAGCAGTCCCTCCCCTCTGGGACTTCAGCCAGGGTAGGAGGGCTGATGGGGTCAGTGGGACAGCCTCATACCAAGCCTTGGGAGGTGGTCCTTGTAGTAGAAGCCGCCTGCCGCCTCGCCCACACACTTGAGGTCCACCTTGCCCTTGTGGCCCACACGGTACACGTTCGTGGTACCATCAGCCCACGTCACGCTGGCCACACTCCGGCCTGTCTCCACATCCCAGCCACGGATGTCCACCACACGGCCTGGTTTCCCTTCCCCTCCTGGGGAAAGAGTCCCCGCCAGCAGGCTAAGGCTGTGCCTTGAGACTGAGCCATGAGCCAGCCACAGCCGGGCCCTGCCCTCTGCCCCTCTGCCTCCACTCACCATCCTGTGAGCCCCACTCCCAGTCGGGGCCTCGCACCACCTTCGCGCCCTGGAAGATGCCCCTTAGTGGGATCCTCAGGAGGCCCTGGCGGGGACTCAGCGTGACACTGCAAGAGGGTTCACAAATAAAGCTCTCGGAAGAAAACTGCCATCTCTTCCCGTCCTGAACCACTCGGGAGAGCCTGGGAATGGCCGGCCCAGCAGGTCAGCATCCTCCACACACTGCGAGGAAATGCCCCTGGGCTCAGGGGCCTGGAGCGAACCTGCGGACCACGTTCCTCCAGGGACTTCCCTGATGCCAGGCTGGGAAGGCACCCAGGCCCACCCTTGGCAAGACCTCTGGGTGTGGTCGCTTTATGCCTGCTGCCTCCCGGTGAGCTGGGGCACAGCCAGGCCCAGAGGTGGGCTCAGCATGTGGTAAGGGAGGAATGAGGCCAACAGCACTCCCCAGTCGCCCACAGCTCCCTCCACATGCAGGGAGGGCCAGAGACAAGGGTGACATGCAGGAGACGGGGTGGCATCTCTGGCTGCCTTCGCCCCAAGCAGGCTAGATTCTCCCCCAGCTGATGCCCTCGGACCAGAGCGCAGCAGCCCCCAAGGCAGCCCAGGGGCTGGCTCCAGGTGTGGACAGTCCTCGCGGAGGTCTCATGCCTCCCTGGGGGATGCTGGCTGCCTGATGGCCACTGCTGCCTGTAGAGCCACCCAGAGGCCACCCTCTGTGCCCCGCCCATGGCAACACTGCTTAAGGCCATTGCCCTGGAGAGACTTGCTCCATCTCCCTGGGAGTGGTTGGGAGCCTCCCCGAAGGCCGAGGCCCCCATGGCAAGGCCTGGGTATCCGCCGCACAGGAGCTGGTGCGGTCCAGGACTCACGGGCGTGAGTGGGCTGTCTCGTAGCGGTCGAAGGCGTGGGCAAGCTCGTGCTTGTTGTGCATGTAGCACTGCGTGCAGAGGTCGTAGTCCAGGCACACGCGGCACTTCCAGCGCATCCCCCGCAGCCCGTGCTTCTTGCAGCAGTCACAGATGATGTTGGGGTGCCGGACGCCTGGGGGTGGGGTGGGGTCAGAGGGGGCGTTCCCGCCCCCGGGTCCTGCCCGTCCCGCCTGCCCTTGGCGCACCAATCTGGGCGTTGTCGTAGAGCAGCAGGTCGTGCGCGCCCTGGTAGCCAGCGCGGTAGTTGGTGCGTGTGCCCTGGTCCCACTGCACGACCACCGTGCGGTCGGGTGTCGAGGGGCTGCCGTGGCGGCCAAGTTCCACCACCGTGCCCACGCCGCCCTCGCCGCCGTCCTGCTGGCCCCACTTCCAGTCCACGCCGCGCACCACCCGCATGCCCACCTGCACGCCCGCCTGGGGGTCTGGGTCCATGTTGGGCGGGGCTGCTCGGGACCTGTGGGCAGAGGGGTCCATGGTGGGCCGGGCTGCTCGGGACCTGTGGGCAGAGGGTATTCTCAGGCCACCACGGGACACTCCCGGTCAGAGCAGGCTCCACGGGAGAGCAGAGGAGAGGCCCAAAGGGGCAGGTGGGCTGGTTCAAGCCCTAGGGCCCACAGTCTGGCACCAGCGAGGCTGGTGGGGAAGGTGGGTGCGATGCCAGCCTGGCGCGGGACTGGCAGGGTGGTCTGGGCCCAGGGGGCTTCGTGAAAGGTTCACAAATAAAGCTCTAGGAAGAAAACTGCCATCTCCTCCTGCAGCCAATTAATGAGCTGGACGCTGGAGTTCACTAAAGAAAGAGCTGCCGTCCCCTAAGACACTCACATGGTTGGACGGGCAGTGGCATGTGAGCAGACACCGTGACAGGCGTCCCTCAGAGGACTTGTGTCCACACACACACAGGGTGAGGAACTCCTGCGATCCACATGAAAACGTCAGACAACGCAACAGAAAAATGGCAAACACGACGCAGGCACCATACAAGACCAGCAGGCATTGGCCAGCAGGGACCAGGAGGCATCTCTGTCCCCAGACACTGCTCCTGGGGGATGCCAGCTTTGGACCCTGCACGTCAGGGACAGTGCAGCAAGGCCAGACAGCACCCCGGAGCCTTCTCTGGAAAAGTGGCCCTGGCCACGCCGCGCACCCACAACAGAGGCCAGACACTCAAGCACAGGCAGGTCCCTGGGTCCTCAGTGGCCACGGGGTCCTGAAGCGGGGTTGAGTCCCAACCTAGCAGGGACCCACTCACCACAAAGAGCACGGGCCAGAGGTCACCAGCAGATGGAGGGAAGTAGCCAAGTGCAAATGCCATGCCAGGCGGCTCCGTTTACACAGAGGTGCACATTCCAGGCTGCTGGAAGCAGGGATGGAGCCAGCCACAGGGCTCGAGGCCCAGGACTGCTAATCCCGAATCTGGGTGCTGACCCCCGAGAGCTCACTCTGCAGATGTGAGTCACCGTGGGCTGCCCTCTCCACCGTGCTGGGCTTCGGCACAGTCTCGTTAACAAGAAGAATGGATGTGAACGTTAAGAGGGCAAATCAGAAGGTAGAGGCTACAGCTGGCTGTGATCGCATCACTGCACTCCAGCCTGGCGGGCAAAGCAAGACCCTGTCTGGGGGAGGGGAGGGCCCCTACTCACTTCTCATTAAACCACTAGGACCCCATGGCCGGGGAAGGAGGCAGCCCACGAGCACTGCCTGAAGCAGAGGTGGGGGACACGGCAGTCCCAGGAGGCTGGAGGGACCCCTGAGGCTGGGTGGATGTGGCTGAGGATGGAAGGGGGCCCTGCCAACTCCAGGACACAGGCCAGCCTGGGCCTCACATGTCAGCCTTCCACCTGGGCTGCACTGCAGCCCAGCACTTTGCATCTCAGGCCAGTTCAGGAGACACCCTGGCCCAGGGGAGGCTGCAGATGGGCAGTGAGGAGGGGCCACAGCAAAGCTCCCGACTCCTGCTCTGGCTCAGGGGCCTGAGTCCCACAGGTTGTGCCCCGGGCAAGGCCCGGTGAGGAGCCCAGCCCCACTCCAGAGACTGAGTCCAGCACAAGGGCTCGCCTGCAGGGCTGGGCTCCTCACCGTGCCCCAGCTGCATGTGAGCACGGGACTCCCTCTAATTCTCAGGGGCACAAACCTGGCCAGCTTGGCCTCTCCAGTTCTCTCTCCTCAACCTGCCCAGAACCGCCAGGGCTTCCACAGGACGGGGGGATGTTTTAAAAGCACAGCTCTCCCTGTCAGTGACGAAGAGGAGCCCCACCCAGCAGCCAGGCTCTGCTTCTTCAGGGAAACCCCACGTGGCCTCATCTGTCCAGAGGCCTCACCTGTTGGGTGACACTGCCCCCCTCACCTGGGGCGAGATCCTGCCAAGATGTGCACCAAGGCCTGGGTCAGGGCGGGCCCCAGCACCAGGGGCTGCTTTTTCCTGTGGCACCAGTGAGCCCCAGACAAGGAGACGGGTCCCGTGGGCAGCTCCACAGCCATCAGGGAAAGTGGCTGGCTCTGCCCTCCCCACGGCCTTCTGCAGCCTCCTGGCTGGGCCTCTGCATGGTCAGCTTCCACAGGTGGCAGCCAGAGCGGCCCCACCTTGCCCTCAGAGGCCCCGCGGAGCCAGGAGCCCAGCCACCACCCAGGGTGACCCACAGGCCCTCCCCATGGGCCTCTGTGGCACTGTTCCCCTGGGCGGGCCTCTGAGGGCAGCCCCCAGGTGGTGCACTGCCGCGTCCTATGTTTGGCCAGGACCCCACCAGCTGCAGCTTTGACTGAATGGCCGCGTGAGTGAACGAAACATAAGAACCAGAGAGAATCTGTGCCAGGCTTCTGTGATAGCGGCAGCCCCCGTGTCCCGAGGACCCGCCCAGCAGAGGCCACTTCCAGCCATCCCAGCACTGACTACACCTCACCCAGAGCATGTCCAGGGGGACCCAGTTCCACCGGCCAGCCCAGCTCCGCGGCCCCACACTAGCCAGGACCCTTGACTCTCCAGATCCCTGCAGACCCCACGGGGGCTGTCTTGGAGGGAGGTCACCCCTCCTGCCCCAGCAGCTCCCCACTGCCTGCTCTGCCACCAGCTGGGGGCAGGCTCTGCAGGGTTCCTGCTCCCAGGATCCACACACTGTCCTCAGCTTTTGCCCATGGAGCGCCCAAGAAGGGTGAGGCGTGGCCTGGGCTGAGCTCCCCCACTCCAGCCTCCTCTGCACAGGGACCTTCCCCGCAGAATGGCACAGCCGGGGAGGCCGACGCAGCAGTCTGCTGGCGGGGGGACGAGTGAGAGGGGTACTGCTCCTTAGGGGTGCGGGCCCCACCCCCTGCCAGGCCATCCACCTCCACCAGATCCACATGCAACCTCCTCCTTGCCAGGATCCTCCCAGAATTGGCCACAGCTGGCGTCACGCTAAGCCGGGGCCTCCTCCCTGCCAGACACCTCCATTGAGCCGGAGCGGGACCCATCACAGGCAGCCGCAGAACTGACTGGAGGTCTTTGCTAGCAGGGGACACGCATCTGCCGAGCCCTGAGATGGGCCTGGCAACCGAGATGAAAGACTTGGGACCGCGAAAAAGTCAATGCCGGCCGGGCGCGGTGGCTCAAGCCTGTAATCCCAGCACTTTGGGAGGCCGAGACGGGCGGATCACGAGGTCAGGAGATCGAGACCATCCTGGCTAACACAGTGAAACCCCGTCTCTACTAAAAATACAAAAAACTAGCCGGGCGAGGTGGCAGGCGCCTGTAGTCCCAGCTACTCGGGAGGCTGAGGCAGGAGAATGGCGTGAACCCGAGAGGCGGGGCTTGCAGTGAGCCGAGATCCGGCCATTGCACTCCAGCCTGGGCGACAGAGCGAGACTCCGTCTCAAAAAAAAAAAAAAAAAAAAAAGTCAATGCCATGAGCCCACACTGTGATCCTTCTGCAGCATGGGGGGTGCCCTCTGTCTCTGCGCCCAGACTCTCAGCCAGAGCCAGCTTAGCCCAGGCCAGCGGCCACACCTGCCTGACCCGCAGGCATGGACCCCAGCCATATGCCACTGGACCTTTCCAACAAGACAGGGGCAGGGCGCCCCATGCGTGAACCAGAGTGTCCTGTGCCCAGCCTTGCCCTTGGGGGGATGGGCAAAGGGCAGAGATGTCAGGGAGGTCACCAGCAGGACCTCTGGGAATCAAGACCAAGCCTCAGTGGCCCCCACCTCACAGGCGCAGCGGGGTGGGGTGCCAAGGCCATCAGCCTGAGACAGGGTGGCCTGTGCCCCAGACTGGCACCTGTCTGCAGCATGCCCAGTATTTCTAGCACAGCCAGGCAGCTCTCCAGCTCTGGCCCACAAACCCCCACCCTCCCAGAGGCTGTCCCTCATGGAAGCCCACCAGAGTTGGGGCACAACTGGGCTGAACACGGGCAGGGCTTCCTCCCCGGCCTCACTTCTTGTGCCTGGAACCAGCCTCCCACTTGCTGAGGGTTGCCCCAACAAGGGAGAGGAGCCCGGACAGGGGAGTTGGGTGCGCCTGCCCACTGCACGCCTCTCCCCGGGCGCTGGGATGTGAGCATACAGGGGCCTATAGCCCTGGCACCTGCTCATGGCTCCCCTGCAGGGCCCCCACCCCAAGGGTCTGGGGTGTGTCACGCTGCCAAGGCAGCCCCTTCTGTCCAGCGTGGCACTGCCCCGGCGTGGCCGCCTCATCTGAGCGGGGTCTCCGGCCATGCCTGCCTCCCGCCGACCCTTCTGTGGCGCCAGTGTGCAGACACACCACGTGCAGGCAGCTCCCAGGCTCAGGAGCTCAACATCCGGGACCCTCTGAAGGGGCCAGCAGCTTTTTAGGCTCTGCCGCCTTTCTCCTCAGCTCCTTCCTGCAGCCGCCTGCCTGTCTTCCTCACCACTGCTCAGGGCCAGCAGTCACCCAAGACCACCTGCCACTGACCTTCCGGCCCCCAGCCCCGGGGCTCAGTACCTGCCTCCGAAGGCCTCTCTAGGGGGTGTTTGTGGTGGGGGCAGGAGGCAAGAGTGAGACCCCCACAGGCAGGGAGGAGGAGCACCCCAGCCAGGACCCAGCACTTGTATCCCTCCATCTGGGAGGTCTCTCCTCAAAGGGGACAAAGTGTACCTGCTTAGGGGCCACCAGCGAGGGGCCTGCCCCATCCCCACTGTTCATGAGAGTTGGGGGCTGTGGGGTCGCACAAACAGCCTGGCCATCTCAGAGGGAAGCTTGTGGACAAAAGGGCTCATCCCCTGGGCTTCCCTGACCATCTTGTCCTCCTGAGGCCATGGGAGAGGCTCTGGGCCGGGACTGGGTCAAGCCGACCCCAAGGGCACTAGCTGCAGGCCCCATGCTCTGGGCAGGGGTGGGAGCAGGTGATGTGGGGCCAGCACTTGGCACACCTGCTGCAGACCTCAGGTGAGGACTTCCCGGAGGCGTGCAGGTGAGGAACGCCAGATTAGGGGTAGGAGTGGGGTGGGCAGTCCTGGAGATCAAGCCCTCTAGGACAGATGTTCCCCCAAGGGCCCCTCACTCCCTCTGCCTCCACCCTGGACCTGCCCAGCACCCATCCCTTTCTGGAGATCAGGAGGCCTCTGGGTTGCCCCCTCCTATTTTTCTGTTCTAAACCCACAAGGCTCCAGGTGCAGAGGAGGGGACCAATGAGCCCTGATCACCCTGATCACCTGCCCACAGCGGGTGAGCTCTGGGCCAGAGGCTGCTATGGAAAGTGCAAATGTCCAAGGCTGGCCCTGCCCTCATGCCAACCTGGCCAAGGTTTCCCAGAAAGACAAACCAGAGACAGCCACAGCCACAGCCCAGCACTGGTGGAGGGGCTCCAGGGAGCAGACCAGAGCTGCGGCCATGCAGCCCCTGGCGTACATGGTTGTGGCCGCTCCTGCTCCTCCTCTTGTAAACATACAGCCCAGGCTTCCACTTCAGGATGGTGCCTCACAATGGGTGTCTTCATCTCAGTCAGAAATTTACCCAGAGAGTCACCAAATGTTTTTCCTTTGCTAGAAATGCTAGACTTTGCCATCTACCCAGAGTTCACAGGCTGTGCCCCTGGCTGGCATCTGAACCTCGCCGCAGGCAACTGCTCCCGATGTTTAAAATGACGGAGGCAGTCAGGGCGTGAAGACTCGGGCGACAGATGTGCTTTGGCAAATCGGAACTTACCTCAGAGCACACACCAGCCTCGAGGCAGCATCCCAGGTGTTTAATTGCTACTTCCTGGGTCACAGATTTCCTGTTGGAAGCTAAAGCCACTGGAGACACAACACAGCAAACCAGATGGGCAGCCAGCAAGCCAGGCTGGAGAAAACGGTTTATAAAGGCAGTTTCACACATTTAGCATTTACCATCTTAACCACGCAAGCAGCCACCAGGTCTGTTCTACTGCTTCTTAGTTTCTCTTTTTCACAAGAAACTGCCAGCTCTCAGAGGGCAGGAGGATTTCCGAACCATCAATCAGGAGAGTGTAGGAGGAGAGACTTCCCTTATTGCAAGTATTTTATTGGATAAGCTTTGAAAGCCATAGAAACCAAATCCTATTTAGCGAGGAAGTTAGCAAATTGCCTTTATTCAGAAGAAGCAAGTTACATAGAACTGGGACTGGACATGAGGCTGCCCTCCTCCTTGCACCTCCAGCTGTGCCTAATGACACTGAAATGCTGCTGTGTGTGGCACGCCACGGGCCATGGAGTAGCTCCAGCTAATGCAGATGGACATCCCGGGTGCCCCAGGGAGATCAGGCCCACTGAGTGGGATGAAGCCCTGAGCCTGGCCAGCACGGAGACACCTGCTAGGGGGAAGCCCACGAGCGCTGTGGCCACCTCCAATCCTGCCCATCTGGGTGGAGACCCACAGGCACCCTGCAGGCTGGGGTGTCAACCCACTCACTGCCCAGGGCTCCCCTCGGCCAGGAGAGAGCCACATTCAGACACTTGTTGCATGTGAAGCAACAGGCCAGGGTGGAACCGGACAGAGGGGGCCTTCCGGGAAAGGCTAGGCTTGCCGGCGCTCCTGCGCTGCGGCCACTCTGCCCCAATCCTGCAGGTGCCTATCAGGGGCCTGTCTGGCACCTCTGCTTATTTCCTCCATGGGTATCGAACCTAGAGGGGAGACGCGGGATTACTCACCACTTCCCTCCACTCACACGCATGTTCAGACACAAACACAGCCCCTCTGACGTGGCTTCCACGGAGCCCCAAGGTTGGGAGCGCCAAGTGCAAACTACCAGGCTGCGGACGGTCAAGAGCTCACCTGTCCGGCCGTCCAGTCGCCCGCCCGGCCGCCTTGAGGCTCTTGGGCTGCAGCCCTGATGCCTGGAGACTTTGGGACTGGCCTCTAGCCTCGCTGGGCTTCCAACCCTGTGGCCGAGGGGAGATGCCAAGATGCACAGTTAGCACTTCGGCCTGTGGCTCGGTCGCCTGTCTGCCCCCGGGGCTGCCCGCCGGCTCCAGGTCCACTTGGGCCCACGGCCGCGACACCCAGGGCCGCCGCCTGCCTGGATAGGCTCCCTGGGGTCTGGGGCGCGCAGGAGCCGCCAGCGCCGGGCCCGTAATTGCGTGCGCCCGGGGTCTGGCAGCCGCGGCTCGCAGACGTCAGGAGGCTCCGGGACGCGCACGGGCGCCGGCGCAGAGGAACAGGCGGGCCGGGGGCGGGCACGGCGGGCGCCCCACCCGGAGCTCGCCCCGCCCCTGTCATTCGTGCTGAAGGCTCGCGGAGGCCGCCCGGCCCCGTCCGCTGCCAGACCTTGCCAGGGCCGCGCAGTACCCGCCGACCCCAACTTGCCCGGACGTTTCCGTCCCGCCTGCTCCGCTCGGGGGCGCGGGGCTGCCGGCCAGTCCGTCTGTCAGTCTGTCCCGGCGTGCGAGGCCGCCCACCGGCCCCGACTGCTCAGAGGCGGCCAGGCCAGGCCAGAGCGCCCGCCGCGCGCCGCAGCCCACCGGGCCCAGACGATGACCCCAGCGCCGACCCCAGCGCCGCGGGCCCCGGGCCGCGCGAGGCCTGCCGGGAGCTGGAGTCCCGCGCGGGCGGCCAGACCACAACTCCCAGAAGGCCCCGCGGCGGCGCTGCGCGCGCAGCCCCAGCCCATCGCGAGCGGACCCTGCCGGCCCGGTGCGGGTGGGCCAGCGGGAGCGGGACCGGGACGGCGCTCGCGTTCTGCCAGAGCGGAGCACGACTCAGGGACGGTTCGGAGGGCCAGGGGAGGAGATCCGCGCCTGCACGCACCATCAGCCGAGAGAACGGCCTGCATCGTGCCAGTGACCCAGGAGCGACTCGGGGACGGCCTCGGGCTCCCAGGCCCTCCCGGGCCACCGGGCACTGAGGAGAGGGGCGGCCAGAAACTGTGGGACCCCGACAGCGGGAGCCCAGGGCCAGCCCCCGCCGGAGCGCCGCGGCCACGGCCACGCCCTCGCCGCAGGGATGGGCGGGGCAGGCGCCGGAAGTGCGTCAGCGCGGGAGGGTCGGCTTCGCCTGCCCTGCGTGGCGCAGCTGGGGGACGAGCGGCTTAGCCTCTGGGCGCCTGCGCAATGGCGGTCCCGGAGACGCACTCGGTTGCCATAGAGACGGGGGCTCGGGACCGGCGTCGCGCTCGCGGGCACTGGCGGGACTTGCCGCGCGGCAGCCACCTCTTTCCGACTCCACCAGAGTGGACCCGGTCCGGGCTTTTGAGTCACGCAGACCTGCTCACAGCGAGAAACGGCAGTCCGGGCCCGTCCTCCCGCCCCCGGTTCTGCACCCTAGAGGCGGACGCTTGTTTCTCGCTTTCTCCTCAGAGAAGTCTCCGCCTTTCTAAACAATGCACTGCTACTTTTTCATTTCTTTTTTTTTGAGGCGGAGCCTCTCCCTATCTCCCAGGCTGGAGTGCAATGTCGCGATCTCGGCTCACTGCAACCTCCGCCTCCCGGGTTTAAATGATTCTTCTGCTTCAGCCTCCCGAGCAGCTGGGACTACAGGCTTGCGCCACCACGCACACCTAATTTTTGTATTTTTAGTCGAGACGGGGTTTCACCATGTTGGCCAGGCTGGTCTCGAACTCCTGACCTCGTGATCTGCCCGCCTAGGGCTCCCAACGTGCTGGGATTATAGACGTGAGCCACAGCCCCCGGCCTCTCATTTCTTAATTGTAGACACTGCGTACTTCCGGAGAAGGTCCCTGAGAACCTGGCCGATCTTCCCCGTTGCACCCCTCACGTGGTCCTGTTAGCTCCCAAACTGTCAACCTGAAAGGAAACCCAGAGGCAGGCTCTCCAGGACAAGTGAGTTAATCTGGGCATCGCAGGGGGTTGCAGCCTAGGGTGTTCGTGCCATGACTGATCATAGGCCTATCCGAGGGGGCCGGGAGAAGGGGAAAATATAGATGAGCTCACAAAAGTCGTTTTGTAACAAAAACCACTGGCCGTGGGCGCTTGCTGCAGGAGTGGGCGTTAGCTCGTTGTTGGAGAGAGAGCCTTACCAGGCCCAAGTCCTCGTGCAAGCTGCTTATCTGGAATACTGCAGTCCTGAGGAATTTCCCTGCAGTAAGTCTGGTTACAGGCAAACGTGCAGGACGTGCGGGAGCGTGTTCTGAGGAGGCCTGCTGCAGGTATCCCGCGTGAGAGCTCCCCCTTCGTGGCCTCTCCACTCCATTTGTTTAGGGATTGGTAGAAGTAGTTCCATTTTGGTGCCTGCAACTGTCACAGCTGTGGTAATGAAACCAGGCTTATCTCTTCACGATTGAGTACCTGCTGTTCACTGCTACTGTATGAAACCATGCCACAATTCCTGTACAGCCTTTTTTTTCTTTTAATAGTTACCTAATGTTTTCACATACCTAGCTTTTTACTAACCCATGGCCAGTTTTTTTTTTTCAAGTGTCCCAACGTTTTTGCCACATGCCTAATAATAACATTTTCCAAAGGCTCAAACACATCCGCTGTGCCTGATCCTCCTGTTCGGACCTAGACCGATCGCCTCCTGACCGTGCAGCACAGCTCTTATCTCGAGCTTTTCTCTGCTCTCATCCTTGAGACTCACTTTGCCTGTCTCCTTTCTTGGATTCCCTATGTAAACGAAAAATAAAATCCTGAGCCCTCTACCAACTGTTTTATGTTTTGTTTTGTATTTGAGACAGGGTCTTGCTCTGTTGCCCAGACTGGAGTGCAGTGGCACTGTCTTGGTTCACTGCAGCCTCTGCTTCCTGGATTCAAGTGATCCTCCCATCTCAGCCTCTTGAGTAGCTAGGACCACAGACACGCACCACCATGCTGGTTATTTTTAAATTTTTAGTAGAGACGGGGTGTTACCATGTTGCCTAGGCTAGTCTCAAACTCCTAGGTGAAGCTATTTGCTCACCTCTGCCTTCTGAAGTGCTGGAATTGGCTGGGCACGGTGGCTCACGCCTGTAATTTCAGCACTTTGGGAGGCCGAGGAGGGCGGATCACTTGAGGTCAAGAGTTCATGACCAGTCTGACCAACATGTTGAAACCCCATCTCTACTAAAAATACAAAAATACAGTGTGTGTGTGTGTGTGTGTGTGTGTGTATATATGTATGTGTGTATATATATATATTAGCCAGGCATGGTGGTGCACGCCTGTACTCCCAGCTACTTGGGAGGCTGAGGCAGGAGAATTGCTTGAACCTGGGAGGTGGAGGTTGCAGTGAGCTGAGATCATGATACTGCACTCCAGCCTGGGGAACAGAGCAAGAATTTACCTCAAAAAAGAAAAAAAAAAGGAAAAACCGGCTAGGTACAGTGGCCTACACCTGTAATCCCAGCACTTTGTGAGGCCGAGGTGGGAGGATCACCTGAGGCCAGGAGTTGGAGACCAGCCTGGCCAGCATGGCGAAACCCCATCTCTACTAAAAATACAAAAATTAGCCGGGCATGGTGGTACTCGCCTGTAGTCCCAGCTACTCGGGAGGCTGAGGTGGGAGAATCGCTTGAACCCAGGAGGCGAATGCTACAGTGAGCCAAGATCTGGCCACTGCACTCCAGCCTGGGTGACAGAGTGAGACTCCGTCTCAAAAAAAAAAAAAAAGAAAAGTGCTGGGATGACAGGTGTGAGCCACTGCGCCCAGCCAGCCTTCCACCAATTGAACAGATTCCCTCTTGGCCAAGGGGACCCCAGAGAAATTTTTAAAACAGTTTCCGGCCGGGTGGATCCACCTATAACCTATAAGCCCCAACTTCAAGATATCCTACCTTTTTAGGCCAAACCGATATATACTTTCCATGTATGTATTTATGTCTTTGCTTGTAACTCCTGCCTTTCTAAAGTGTACAAAACCAAACTGTAAACCAACCACTTCAGAACCACTTACTCAAGGCTTCTCGGATGTTTGTTTTCCTGGGAACCCCAGTCATTCATATCGGCTCAAAGTAAACCTCTTGAAAGTATTTTGTGAGGCTGGGCATGGTGGCTTATGCCTGTAATCCCAGCCCTCTGGGAGGCTGAGGTGATCGGATCACTTGAGCCCAGGACTTAGAGACCATCCTGGGCCACATGTTGAAATCCCATCTCTACAAAATACACAAAAATTAACTGGGTGTGGTGGCACACGCCTGTGGTTCCAGCTACTCTGCGAGGATCGCTTGAGCCTGGGAGGCAGAGGCTGCAGTGAGCTGAGGTCGTACCACTGCACTCTAACCTGAGCAACAGAATGAAGCCCTCTTTAAAAAAAGAAGAGGCCGGGCACGGTGGCTCACGCCTGTAATCCCAGCACTTTGAGAGGCTGAGGCGGGTGGATCACGAGGTCAGGAGTTTCAGACCAGCCTGGACAACATGATGAAACCCCATCTCTACTAAAACTACAAAAATTAGGCCGGGCGCGGTGGCTCATGCCTGTAATCCCAGCACTTTGGGAGGCCGAGGCAGGCAGATCACGAGGTCAGGGGTTTGAGATCAGCCTGACCAACATGGTGAAACCATCTCTTACTAAAAACACAAAAATTAGCCGGGCATGGTGGCACACGCCTATAATCGCAGCTACTCAGGAGGCTGAGGCAGGAGAATCACTTGAATCCGGGAGGCGGAGGTTGCAGTGAGCTGAGATCGTGCCATTGCACTCCAGTCTGGGCAACGAGCAAAACTCTGTCTCAAAAAAAAAAGAAGAAGAAGAAGAAGAAGAAGAAGGAAAAAATGTCTTCTTCAGAGTTTGGCTTTTCTGTTAACAGCTGTTTCCTGGAATCTGCATCCTCCCCCTTCTGGCTTTACTCCCTTACTTTGCTGCAGTAAGACCCCTAGTAACTTCCTGGGAAGGGCCCATGTCTGGCCAGTTTCCTCTTCTACTGGAAGGTTCCCCAGAACCCCTGCTTTCTCTCTGTGTCCTGCCTGAGAAGCACAGAGCCTGGGCCACTGCATATTTTCCCTGCAGGCTTGAAGCTCGGCCAGGACCTTGAGTATTCTGTTACTGATGAACTAGGTTGTTGCCTGAGACACTGAAAGATCAAACATGTTGCTAAATATGTGGAAACGAGAGCCACACGAATTAAATCCTCCTGTAAAACTCTCCACTCTAGCCCCTGGGTGCAGGCTTCCTAGGTGGAACCTCTCCATCTCTTGCTGTCAGCCCGAGGATGTGCTTCCTCCCTCTGTACATAAGTTCCCCGAACAAATGCTTTGGGCTTATCACCCTGGCATTTGCTGCTGCTTTTCTTTGGGACCAACCAGCTCCACCTCAGGACGGTTTGGGGCAGTCCCTTGCTGGAACTTGCCTGCTACCACTTTTGGGGTGACTCTAGCCATGGGCTGGAGGGATGAAACAGCAGAGTCAGCAGGATTCCAAAGAAATGGGCTGGGGGAACCAGAAGCAATGGGGAGACCCCCGGACGGCCACAGGATCCCTGCAGCCTGCTTGCTTCACGCTGTCTCCTTGTACAGCAGCCTGAGGATTAAAACTCTTTCTGCTGCAACCCGTGGTGTCGGTGTAGTGATGTTCCATGCATCAGGAAACGGGCCCGCGATGGCCACAACAGAGAGATGCCTCTCCAAAGGGTTTCTCCAGGAATGACGGGGAATTGCAGTTTGGGATATGCATGCTACAGCAGACCACAGGCACATCCAGAGAGGCTGGGACGGGAAGCTTCTAAAACACAGAAAGGAGAAGCCCACCTAAGCTGCTTTGAAACAAAGAGCACAGGTGACACGGACTGTGTGTTAGTCCATTCTCACGGTGTTACGAAGAACTGCCTGAGACTGGGTAATTTATAGAGGAAAGAGGTTTAACTGACCCACAGTTCCACATGGCTGCAGGAGAGAGATGTGCTGAGCAAAGGAGAAAAGCCCCTTATACAGCTACCAGATGTCCTGAGAACTCACTGTCACGAGAACAGCATGGGGGTAACTGCCCCCGTGATTCAATCACCTCCCACCAGGTCCCTCCCACAACACGTGGGGATTATGGGAACTACAAGAGGAGATTTGGGTGGGGACACAGCCAAACCGTATCAGGCTTGTTGCAGGAGTTGGCATTCGTTTGGAGGTGAAGACGGCCCTTGTTAGGCAAGCGTCCTTATGCAAGCAGCTTAGCTGCAGTACTGTGGTTTTGAGTTAATTCCTTAGTTTCTTTCCTGGCACACCTGGGAGAGCCCTTCCTTTGTGGCCTCCTGGCTCCATTTTTCAGGGTTTGACATAAGTGACTCCATTTTGGTAGTGGCCACTTTCACACTGGATATCCACAGATAATGTCTTCCAGGCTCAGGTCCATCACCCCCGCATGTGCAAGGCTGAGCTAACTGCCATGTGTGTGGCCTTAGGCCCCTTGGCAGCCAGGACAATATGTTTTTTTCTCTTTTTTTTTTTTTTTTTTGAGACAGAGTCTCATTCTGTCGCCCGGGCTGGGGTACTATGGCGCGATCTCAGCTCACTGCAAGCTCCGCCTCCTGGGTTCAAGTGATTCTCCTGCCTCAGCCTCCTGAGGAGCTGAGATTACAAGCACGGACCACCACGCCCGGCTAATTTTTATATTTTTTTAGTAGAGACAGGTTGGCCAGGCTGGTCTCAAACTCCTGACCTCAGGTGATCCACCCGCCTCGGCCCCCCAAAGTGATGGAATTACAGGCATGAGCCACCATGCCCAGCCTCCTTTCTTTTTTGAGACAGGGTCTCTGTTGCCCAGGCTGGAGTGCGGTACAGTGATCACAGCTCACTGCAGTCGCGACCTCCTGGGCCCAAGCCATCCTCCTACCTCCACTTCCTGAGTAGCTGGGACTACAGCTGTGTGCCACCACATCCAGTTAATTTTTGTATTTTTTTTTATAGTGATGGGGTTTTGCCCCGTTGCCAAGGCTGGTCTTGAACTCCTGGGCTCAAGTGATCTGCCCGCCTTGGCCTCTCAAAGTGCTGGGATTACAGGCTTGAGGCACTGCACTCGGCTGACAATGGTCTCGCTCTGTCACCCAGGCTGCAGTGCAGTGGAGAGATCTCAGCTCACTGCAATCTGTGCCTCCTAGGTTCAAACAATTCTCCTGCCTTAGCCTTCCTAGTAGCTGGGATTATAGGCATGTGCCACCACACCCAGCTAATTTTCTCTTTTCTTTTCTTTTTGCTTTTGAGACAGAGTTTTCTTCTTGTTGCCCAGGCTGGATTGCAGTAGCACAATCTTGGCTCACTACAACCTCCACCTCCTGGGTTTCAGTGATTCTCCTGCCTCAGCCTCCCAAGTAGCTGGGACTACAGGTGTGCGCCACCACAACCAGCTAATTTTTGAATTTTAGTAGAGATGGGGGTTTCACTATGTTGGTCAGGCTGGTCTTGAACTCCTGACCTCAAGTGATCCACCTGCCTTGGCCTCCCTAAGTGCTGGGATTACAGACGTAAGCCACTATGCCTGGCTGGTACCTACTTTTTTTCTTTTCCTTTCTTTTTTTCTTTTTCTTTTTTTTTTTGAGACAGAGTCTTGCTCTGGAGCAATGGCACAATCTCAGCTCACTGCAACCTCCACCTCCCAGGTTCAAGCAATTCTTCTGCCTCAGCCTCCAGAGTAGCTGGGATTACAGACGTGTGCCAGCACGCCTGGCTAATTTTTTGTATTTTTGTACTAGAGACGGGGTTTCACCATGTTGGCCAGGCTGGTCTTGAACTCCTGACCTCAAGTGATCCACCTGTCTCGGCCTCCCAACGTGCTGGGATTACAGGTGTGAGCCACTGCGTCTGGCCGGTACCTACTTTTTTTTTTCTTTTTTTTAATACAGAGAGACAAAAAAAACCTGCAAGTTCCCGCCTCCCCAAGTTCAATCCACATTAAAAAACGCCATTCTCCCTGCCTCACCTTCCCGAGTACGGGACTCACGAGCTGCCCACCACCATGCTCAAGCTAATTCATTTTTTTTTGTTAATTTTTTTAGAGATGGCGGGCTTCACATGTTAAGCCTCAGGCTTGTCTTGATCTC